GATGCATGTTCAACTTCATTCCTTACGCACAGCAGGACACCCTCTGACAAACAGCAATGGGGAGACCCCAGAAGAATGCCACTGGCACGTCATCCCCTCGGCCGGCCACCACTGCCTCCAAAAATGCTCCTGCTGCGCCAACACCTTCTGCCTCGGCTACCCCGGTTGCAGCTGCAGGCAGCCGATCCAGGAGTACTCCAGCTGCTAGGGCAGCAAAGCCAGACTCGTCTCAGCAGAAACCCACAGCATCCCACGGAGCCCGAGGAGGTGCCAGGGACCAGCACAGAGCATCCACTGGGAGTTGTTCTACAACCCAGAAGAAGGTGCCAGATGCCAAAGCAGCTGCCAGTCCAGCCAGACCCAAAACCAAAGCAGCTGCCAGTCCAGCGAGACCCAACTCCAAAGCAGCTGCCAGTCTAACCAGATCTAACCCATGTCTGCAGAAGCAGCAGCCTAGGGATGACCTGAGTGGGGCCTGTGGCCGGTTCCTGCCCCCGCTGGAGAGCCAGGACATCCCACGTGTGGAGGAGGAGACCCGGGGCCAGCGGAGTAACCCCAAGTGGTATGAGTGGCGGAAGAACCGCATCACTGCCTCCATGGCCCCCAGGATTGCCAACAGCAAGTTTGCCAATGGCAAGACAGACAAGGTGCCCCAGTCCTACCTGAAAGCGGTGGTGAACTCCAGCCCCAGCGTGCAGACACGAGCCATGTCCTGGGGGGTCTGCAACGAGAAGGTGGCTGTGCAGGCCTATGAGCAGCTGAAGTCACAGGCAGTGGGCAAGCCCGTGCAGGTGGAGGACTGCGGCCTCTTCATTGACCGGGATAAGAAGTGGATTGCTGCCAGCCCGGATGGCATCATCAAGGAAGCGGCCACAGGGAAGGCCCTGGGGCTGCTGGAAGTGAAGTGTCCCTACAAGCACAGGAACAGGACGGTGCGTGATGCCTGCAACGACAAGGACTTCTGCCTGAAGATGGATGGGGAGTCCTATGCCCTGAAGAAGGATCATGCCTACTTCACCCAGGTCCAGTGCCAGCTGGCAGCCACTGGCTTCCAACAAGCCGACTTCGTGGTGCACACCAACAAGGAGACAGCTGTGGTCCCTGTGAAATTCGACTCTGAGTTCTGGGGGCAGACAGTGCCCAAGCTGGAGAAGTTTTACACTGAGGCAGTGATTCCCCACCTGCAGGGGAAGGCAGACAGCTCTGCTCAGGCTAGGGAGGAGTAGACCCATCTTGCTCATCTGCCACAGAAACCCACGTTTGGTCCCTAGCATAGAAAATACACCTGGGTTTGCTGCTGTTCTTGGACTGTTCTCTGCCTCAGGACTGAAACGCTACCAGCAGGACCCTGCTTTGGTAAGGGTCTCCATGTACAGTGACCTCTAGTGCCTTCTTGTCCTGTCACCCTCCCTGTATCCCCCATTTGACCCAGCAGTACTGCCTGGTAGAAGCTGGTACACTTCTGCATCTGCATGGGAAGCCAGCGATACCTCCATGCTGGAGTAATAGGCTTTTTTTGTGGAGAAAACTGGATCCTCTCAACTGCTCTGGAGCCAGGGAAGTTTTGTCAGAGCCCAAGAGTAAACCAGCTTTTCAGCTAAATAGTGATGTACCTTAAGAATGACAGCAAGGGCATGTGGACACACTTCCTCCTCAAGCCATCAGACCTGCTTCTTTTTTGGAGTAACTCATGATGTTCATAATGAGTTGGCTGCAGCCTTGGGAAGATGGTGCCTGTTGAAGAGGTTATCCCCCAGCCCATGCACTTCCAGAGGACCTTCCTGTGAAGCATCCCTGTGCACTGCAGCAGGGTGGGGAGGTGGTCATCTCTCTATTAAATACAAGATGCACTGGCCTGCTTGTTCCCTTTTGTTTGTGCACCTTGGTGTTTACCTGGGGTGAGGGGTGGGTTATCAGGGCTGAGTGTGATCCCCACACCAGGTCCCCTCCCAGCCACAGCAGAAGGGGAGCAGGGAAGCACTCGTGTCCCAGAGGGATATGAGACCCAAGGCCACCAAACTATGCCAAAGCCACTACCGTTATGGCAAAAGTACTTTATTATATACATAAGACTCCAGCCACACTCCACAGGGCAAGGACCAGAATTCACTATTTTACATATCAATACAAAGTAACTATAAAAACATAAAGCACTTTTGGGGCCCAGGCTTTCCATAGGAGAAGAGGCACAGGGATGAGCCTGGGGGCTGCTGAGTGACAGGGGCTGCTGAGTGACAGGGGCTGTCCCACACTCTCCCCCCAGCTGTGGTCCCACAGTAACCAGATGTGCAAGTAGGAAAGAACCCAGTTAAGAAATACAGTTGTGGGGCATGGCAGGTGGGGGCTGTCCCACTCCCGCTTCAGTCAGCAGCACACCAGGGGCTGAGCTGAGTGTCACCAGCACAGGAGCAGGGGCTGTGTCCCCCAGGGAAAGTGCAGAAGGCACACGGGCCAGGCTCTTTGGAGGGGCTGTGAGGAGGAGGTGGGATCCAAGTGCACGTGGGGCCCCAGATCACACATAGACACTGCACACAGGGAACACAGAGGGGGTAAAGCCTTCCACTGCCAAACTTAACCAGGGGGCTGGAGAGGGCACATCCCATGTCTCTGGAGCAGCAGTTGCATAGCAGAAGGGGCTCAGGGCCCACTCTTGACAAGTCATTAAATTTCATTCTACACGTTCAGGACAAAAAAACCCCAACAAAACAATCTCAGTGATGGAGGGAGTGCTGGGAAGCAAAGCCCTCCCAGCTCCTGGCTCCATCCAAGCTCAGGTCTCAGCATCCAGCTGGTGTTGAAGCAGATGCTCCACCAGGCAGCCCTGCAGGTAGGAGATGGCCTTAGGGTACAAGCTCCAGTTGTTTTAAACTGGGCATGGAAAACATGGAAAGCTAACCAGAGCACTCTTCTGATCCCTTTCTGAAGGGCTTCCAGCTCTGCCACAGCCAGCTCTGAGGATAACTTCAGTCTCCTACAAGGAATCCCACCCCTCTTCACACAGGAGACCTCAGTGCAGCTGAAGAACATGAACCAAGGAGGGTTGCTCAGGCAGAAAAGCCTTCACAATCATCTACTAGAGAATGCCTTTGCTATTCCTGACCCAACAGGACCATCCTGGGGCTACAGGGACAGCAAACAAAACCAAGAGCGCCACAGGATGGCCCTCCCTTGTGCAGCCTACAAGGCTGATGAGCCAGAGACAGATGGCTCCACCAGTGCCCCTAAGATGCAGAACCCCATTCTGCTTCAGGCATCAACAGGACCAGTGTCCCTTCCCACCCTGGAGAGCAGCATACTACATCAAGGGAGCATGCCAGGGCTGCACCCACTTGCTGGAGCAGAACTTGGGTCACCGGGGCTTTGCCATTGCAGCCCACCAGAAGGTTCAAGAGAAGGGAAACAGCGATGAAAAAGGAGGAAGGGGCATCACATCTTAGGATGAGTGTAAGCTTCCACCACACCACAGAAAAACTACTTGGACTAGGTTCTCTTCGGCTGTCCTGGGGGAAAGGCACTGGGATAGCTTCGTGCAAAGACAGAGATGTTTCCGAGTGGCCTAGTGTGTGGCTGGGCCACCCTCCTCTCCCCCCCACACCTCTGGGGTAACTGAGCTCTGTGGTCAACACAATCCTCAGGGAGGACATGCGTGGCAGCTTCCAGGAGTCAGAAGTGCAAGGGGGACAGTCCAACCCCCCAGCCCAGACCCTCCCCTGCCATTATTGTGCATTGATTGTCTAGCCAAACCGGGCTACAGTCTGCAGCTGAGAAAAGGGGACCCCCGGCCTCCCTGCTTTGGAGGAGCTTCAGTCACAGAAGCGCTTGCGGGGCACTGTCCGAGCTCGGTTCGAGCGGCGAATCTCTTGCTTGGCATCGCGGCACCGCTGGCAGATGAAAACCTCAGGCACGTTGGATTTGCGGATCTTGGCACAGGAGAGGTGGATCCAGGTTGCGCACTCATTACATTCGATCATGGGCCTCCCTGCGAAGGGCTTCAGGCAGAAGCAGGTGATCAGATCCCAGGCATCGTCGTCTGGTCAGGGAGAGAGACACCGGTCAGAAACCATCTTAAAAGCTGCAGCCAGACTAGCCAGTTCCACTGGCAATAAATGGGATAGCCCCCACTCACCTTCTGCTTTGGTGTTGGGTGCTGCTGTGAATTCGACTGCTGAAGTTGTAAAAGGGGAAAAAAGAAAAAAAGAAAGACCAGATGAGCAGACAGCCCTGCACCCCACTTAAGACACTCCATAGAACAGACCTGTCAAACAGAGTTGCTCTGCTTTTCAGGTCCCCCAAGGTCCCAGAGGTATTCCCCTTGCTGGGAGAGGTTCGGGCCATCCACAAGCCTTCCCTGCAGCCAGCATAGGTAGCTCCAGCTAAGAAAGGGACCATCTTCATCACTGGCTGCAGCATAACAGGGCCGTCTGCACTTCCTCAGATACTTACCACTAAGCTGGGAGCTCCCTCTGCTCGCATCTTCTCCTTTGCTTTGGTCCAAGGTACTACAAGAACTGGGGCTTTTCCTCCCTCCAGAGCAGGGGTTGTGCTCCTTTAGCTGAGGATCATCTCCTGCTGGCTTCTCAGTACCCTGCTCTCTATGCATCCAGTGCTTCTCCTCCTTCACCAACTCCTCCAGGAGGGAGTTGGGCTGGGGGTCCCCAGCTGCGTTGAGGGAAGGCTCCAGGAGCTGCTCTTTCATGGGAATCATCTGTCCTTCTGCTGCAGCCAGCTCCTTCACCCCATCCTGCTCTGTGCCAAAGCCCTTCCCAGTGCTCAGCAGCACCTTCTTCACCTCTGGCTCCAAAATGAGTTTCTTTGCTGGTGGTTTCTTACGTTTGGTTTGCTGGGGCTGGACATCATAGAAGCTGGTGGGAAAGGCTGGGCAGCTCACGAGCAGGCTGTTGTCCACAGCCCCCCTGGCCATGGAGTTCCTGCTCCTCCCATCATCCATCAGGACATGGCAGTCGGAGGAATGGGACGAGACCCAGCTATCACTGTCCTGAGTGCTCCCTGTGCTGTTCTGGGGACTCATGCTGCCTCTACGGGTCCAGGGCTCATTCTGCAAGAGGGGAAGATGCAGGACTAACATGGGAGACCACAAAGCAGACACTCAAGAGTAAGGAGGAAGGAACTGGGGATGGAAATGATTCTTGAGGAGAGGAATTAGGAGCTGGGTCTGCACAAAGTAGAGAGCCCAGAGGAACCAGTCTTTTCATAGAGGAAACACCCTGTAAACCTGCTTACCTCTTCAGGGTAGGGGATGTAGCCTGCATAGGCCAAAACAAAGGTGCAGAACTGGTTGAAATCCTCCACGGTTCTCTGTCGTTTCTGCAACGGCTGCAACAAAACACCATGTGTCAATTAAACTGCCCCATACGTCTACCTGAGCTGAGTATCCCAACCAATCCTGGCAGGCAGCGTTGGACCACCAGGCAAATATACAAGCACATAATATTTAGGTCATCCAAACATCCATCCATCCAGTAACCCATCTGCATCATCTGGCTCGACAGATGCAGCCTTTCCCTTTAGGGCCCGTACTGCGGGGGGACACATGGCGCGCACAGCGAGGACACGGTGGGTCACTCGGAACGCCAGCAGCCACCCGGCACGGCGTGAGTCAGAGGCTCGGGAGCTCTGAGCCAGGGATGTCCGCCCACAGCGGCTGACTCAAGGCCAGAGGGAGAAGGCGCCGGCCGATTGGTCTCAGCCAGAAGAAGCCGGCGCCGCTCGGGACCAAGTCCCGCACTCGGAGCTCCGGTATCCCGCTGCAGAGCCATCCCCGCGCCGGCGCCCCCAGAGCCATGGGCGGAGGAGCAGACAACCCCTCTACCCA